TCGCCAGCGTCAATACTTAATTGGATATTTCCTTCTATACTTTTTAGCACGTAGCTATTTATTATTAGCATTATTCTTCCGACGTTTGATTTCTTTTTAATTATAGGAAATGCGTTTTTCTAAGGTACATAAACTTTTGGGATTGACTGTATAGCTAATACATCGTTAACTGAACATTCTATTTTCTGTTGAAACAAAAACGCACTGCGGGGAAACAATTATGATTCTCCCTAAGATAGGATAACGGTGGGTGTGTACATGTATCCACGTGAAGTATACGATATGGGATCAAGTTTGGAAACGCTTGCACAGCGTAGCAAATGTCTGGAGAAATCACTATACCACGCAGTAATCAAGATACTCCGAAATAATGCGAATGCAGTTAAGTCAACAAAAAGTTACGCAGATTGCTACTCGTAGAGAGAAACTAATATGTTTGTTAAGTGTTTCCCGTTGGCCGGAAGAATTTAACGATATCAAATCAGAAACTATACACATGTGTATGATATATTGTTTAGAACGTACATGATAAATATTTACAATAGTAATCTTGTGAAACTGCATGCCTATGAAAGATGAATTATTATATGATATATATGATACAAAAATCCAGAGAAGAATAATGTAGCTTTGAGGAGAAAGATTTATAGAAAAACAATAACGACAAAACAGAAGGAAAATATTTGACGCTTAATTACTATTTGCTCTTTCGATGCTACACGGCGATAAATTACATAATGACAAAATAATTGACAAAGAATTTCATTCTAACGAGTTGGACAAAAGCGACGATTGCAACTAGGTTTACCAGTAAAGTGAATTATTTGATCTAGTCTCTAATCATGATCCAATTCACGGAGACCTACTCTCTCATGAAAAAACAGACAAAAAAGACCGATTAGGATTTTGAACTTTGACCTGAATTTAACAAAAGCCGTTCATCTATTCTACATTTTTCTACTTTTTATCCGTTGTTTTTTTCGTTCATTCATTCACAACGACTATGTAATGGCATTAAAAGTCTCTCTAACGAGAATCGTATTCGACGCAAGTGAAAATGTTCGCGACACGTGAAGTTATAAATTTCGTGGAACACACGGGGATTACTCGCGAGTCGTGATACTCTTTTTAATACCCTTACACGTTATCTGTTCGTTCATGATTGTTTAATTTGTACTATTTTTTTTCTGTTGTCGTGTGATCAAGTTCGAAAAGTTTTACGGAATTTTGCAAATCGATGCGGAATGTAATACAATTAAGAAAATGAAATAGTCACATGACGTTGAATTATGTTCGAACAGTTTCTCTTTAACAAGTTTCGATTGTACATTCATTAGAGATCGATTTATAATTAATATCATGAACAAATGCGTCCACCAAAGTATTTTTATGAAATAGTATGAATTGTCTCTGAAATATTTTTAAATTCTGTGAAAATATATCCTACACGTTCAGAGAAAACTTTGTTATTTGTTTACCAGTTGAAGAGAAGCTTACCGAGCCGCGTTAGACTCTTACCAGAAAAGTGGACCTACTAAAATAAATTATCGCCCGAAACTTTTGCATTCGCTCGTTGCCATCTTCGTCGGCTGGCCAAAACGAGCTCGAGCTATTCGTCTGGAAAATTGGATTATAATTCCCGGCCGCGCGGCTGTGCTAACGCGTTTAACGAGAAAAAGTGGTTAATACGGTAAACGCATGGGAATCCCGTGTAAATTATTCGTGAAAAACGACAGTATTCGCCATAAACTTTTTGCAGGAAAATGTATTTTCATCTTCTGAAGATACTGTTCCGAGATTAATTGGATTTTAATAAACTAATAGTTACATACATAGAAAGGCAAAAAAAATTGTTTTGTATTTCCGGAGAATACTTGTTCCCATTCGTTCACTCACACGTTTCTCGAGTCCTTAAAAATTGACATGAACTTTCCACAGTAACGACAACATTATTTGAATCCTTCAACTGTACTTAACGGTTTGCTCCAGCGCTTCGAATTCGAAACAAAAGTGTATCTGCGGTAAATGCTTAAAATGAACGATACTCGAGCAAATACCGCATTATATCGTAAATGAAACAGTCGATGGCACTCGAACCAAACAAACCGTCCGTTCGACCGAATATTACCGATTTGAAATAACGTGACAACGCTCAAAAGCCTGCTGTTTAATTCGTTTCGCCGCACACGCTCCGTATTTTAACTTCACTTGTTTCCTCGAACTCGAATTTTTACGTGGACGACAATGGAAAATGACACCAAGAAATCATGGAAGCGAGAGTGCAAAAAAGATATCTTTTAATTCCCTAGAGTAAAATCATATACTACAATGCCATAAGACCCTTAATACTGATTAACAAGAATTGGTTAAACGCATCTGCTACTACAGCTTTACTGGCAATGTAAAAAAATATTGAATGTACGTATTTAGACGCTGTCCGTGATTCTATATAGAATTGGAGATTAAACACTTTCCTTAAAATGAAAAAAGAAAGTAGTCAGAAACCCAGTGGACCGGACGGCTTATCTTTCTGCATAAATGCAAAACGTGCAGTGATGCAGAGGTTCAGGGAAGCCAGTTCAGTAGATTTGAACACCAGATGCGGATCGTAGACTCACAGTTAACCGCTGAGGTAGGTTTTTACATTTGATCCGAATCGAGGACGGCGTACACTGGACGCGGACCGTGTCACATGCTAGATACCATAGTATAATATTTTCGTGGAACGTATAATGGGTTAGTTGGAATAAATTATATCGTCCCCACCTTTTATCTTCTCTCCGCAGGTTTCAGTCCATCATTACAATTGTCAATGTGTATGTACATTATCGCGTTGCTGATTCAGCATGAAGCGGATTTAAATAATTATTGCACGTCGTCATCAAAAGCATGCGACATTTTAAACTAGTGAGATCTTGTTGATTTCGTGCTAGCGAATAAGAGACTTGTAAATCTGATGCTAATTAAATAAATGCCTTGTAAAATAATGTTCTGTATGTTCCTGTTTTATCTTAGCAGGTTTTTTAACGTAAAAGAGACTATGAATAGGACAAGTAAGGTATTTATTATAGCATCTTTCCTAAAAGGAAATCCATTATGTTCTTTATACCTTCCACAATCTGATTTTACTTTGACATGCAGTTCTAAAATTTTGAAATCTATTAAAACGTCAATATTAGTAAATAACAAGATCTAGAAATATATAAGTAATTTAATGAAGAACAATAGATTATTAAAAATTGATAGACATTTTTTGGTATTTAACCCGAAAAAGGAGAGCCGGTTTTAATGTGAGCTTCCCCGGTTATGAGAGAGCGAACGCGCACGTTTAATTCGATCATAAAGCGAGGACGCATACTGTGTAAATAAAAACTCGTCGTTGTGACAAACAACAATGGGAGAAAAGCAAGAGGCGAACGACGAATTTTGTTCGGTTAATTTTCCGAACAAATATTTACAACATTTGGCAGACGTCGGTACAATACATTCGACTCGTGCTACGTTGCATACGTTTCGAATATACAATCATTTTGGAATTCACGGATGCTCGGGGTCGTACAAAGAGTAGTATAAAGTACGAATTCCAAGAGCGAAGAGAACAACTGTTTCGGGAAAAAAAACTCGCAGATACACGCACAACAGATGGAGGATTTCAAATTGAACGTACAAATGAAGATGAAAATATTTTCCAAGCCAAACATTTATAGGTTTCGATTCTAGTACGAATACTACCTTCTTTCCACGTTGAAAGCACTTCCGGATGGATTACATTTTCAATTATATTTAACAAGAATATTGAAAAAAAAACGGAATAGTTCTTTAATTGAAGATGAAATACTAAGAAAAATATTTAAAAAAAATGGATCCAATATTCATCAAATACTGAATGCTTATTAAAAGTTTTGGTTAACCTGATATTCATTCTTATGTACTGAATAACATATATTTAGTCTACAATTTAATATACTCAAGCTTCTCTAAACGATACTCGAGTACCTACTCAAGAAATATACTTATCAATTTCGCATCATTCCTAACAAGAGATTTGTCTCTCGTTAAAAAAGGATTTTCCTCATTTCACCGTTTTTTTCCTTTTAGATATAGGCGATTACTCACCAGAATGAATTTGACAAGAGACGAATTGTGAAACGGGAACCAGACGGGTTGATCACAGTTCGACGTTTCTGCAAATTAATCGGATCGAATCGCCGCAGGCCTAATCACCGTTGTTCAGCCAAGCCAATCTCACCGTTATCAGTCCGAAATGTTATGACACTATACGAAATCTGCACTCTCTGTAGAAAGCAAATGGGAAAATCCGTCCGCATAAAGCGAGTTCGGTCGACGAAACCGATTCCTCTCAATGAGTTCCACCGTAAACTAACGGCAACCGTAATACTTCTTGTTACACATCACACGAAACGAAAAAAATAACAACACAAACTGCTCGTGAGTGCTCGGAATGCGTAGGTGGTACGCGATTTCCCGTAATTCTTGGTCAATCGTACGTCAACACCGAAGTCGTTACAACTAAGTACGTGCTTTGTGCGTTCGAAGTCAGAAACACCTGCGCGCGTATCCCGCTCGTAAACAAGTGTACGGAATTCAGGATTCCTTCCACCTAAGTCACATAACTTGTATTAGTCTAACGCGACGATACAACTCGAGGATTTTCGGGAGAAGACAGTAAGCATGAATTACGACTCCTGGATCTCACCGTACCGCGACGGTCACTAAACCATTCTTCAAGTCAAGCTTCGACGATACTTCGCAATTATCTGGTTGCACTTAATACCCTGATGGAATCCTCCTGAATGCAGTCTTTATCCTCTCAATTACGTTCCGGATGTGATAGACTTTTATCGGTATCAGTCTCGTTCCTTGACCTTCTACCTCTCAAAGCTTATATTAAATTAAAATGTCCATCACTGTACTTTTCTTCAACTCTCACTACATAACTATTTTTCGGAATTTCTAAAATGTTTCCTGAATATCATTTGCGATCGGTGTCACTGAATTCAATTGTTCAACATCACCAAATTCGTTTCTGATTTCATGTATAGCAAGTTTTTCTCTTATTGAAATTCCACAAGGTGAAGAATCAGTCCTCGAAACAGCGCGCACGGAAGTAAGTTATTACGATTATCGGTCACGTTGATTGGGGGTGACGAAAGTTAGAGCGGATGAAACGATACTGTGATACGCGGACTTCGGATCGCGGCTCCAAGCGAAGCGGCGCGCGTCTCTCTGTGCGGCGCAAGCCGAACTGGCGCAAGCTCCCGACGCTCAGGGGCAAAAACTCGGCTACGACCCCTTCGCAAGCGCGCCAAGACGACACGCCATGCCATACCGCGCCGCGCCACGGATTATACGTGCTCGTTTTCGAAGAGAAAGGGAACGAATACCGCGGGCTTGGCTCTGCATACGAAACGAATTCCTTTTTCTGGCAGTCTTTCTTTTTTTTCGGGGTGAACTTCTCGAAAAGCTCCCTCATCAGGATTTCAACCAGAACACGAGGCGACGGAAGAGTGTTAAACTGTGGCATCATTTACCTCAATCGTTTTACTCATTAATTCTGTGGCTGGCATCTTTTAGTATAAAGTCAAATCTGCCTCCTTATAATAATCTACATGTAATCTAAGGAAAATGTTTTTTACTGTACTGACAACTTGAAGTATAGATTATATGTGATAAGAATAATAATTTAAAAACAATAAGTAAGTAATTTAAATAAAGGAATAAATACTATGACATGAATTTTCAATAACTACAGTGAAAACATTTATCCTGGGAAGCTTCGAGGCAAATTCAATACAAAACGTACAACACATCCAGGTAATCCACCGTTCCTGAGAAATTCAATCATAGTTATAAGAAAAAGGTCGATCTTCAATCTCAGGCAAATACATGCACACAATCCTGGTCACGATCCTACAATAGAATATCTATCACACGAAAATATATTGCCATTTTCTTCGAAAATAAAATTACTCCAACGCATGGGTACACATGCACAATCATCCAAAGGTTCGTTCGCAAACATAAGAACAATATTTCCATCTGTATTCGTTTCTAACAAGAAATACTGTTTGAAATATATTTTCCTAAAGTGAAGACTAAAAAATGGATGCGTTCACAGTGTGAGCTGACAATATAAATGATATTGCTTTACTAAATCGTGTGGAAGGAAGAAAAAAACGATGGGACTTGAACAAAGTTTTTCGCGAACGGAGCTAACTGCTGGTTGTTCATAAGACGTGAATTATACAAGTATAAATTGAAAAGAGTACACAGAGGAAAACGACGAAAAACATTTAACTGCGGTGCTTTAAACTTTTACTATCTAACCGTGCGAAAAACTTCTGAATTATCTTCTGTGTGTACATACACTCTACCCGGAGCAAGGAAACGTTGAAACGAATAAAATGGATCGATGATTCTTTCACAGCAAGAATATGATATACATACAAGAATTCCTTCATGGAATTTCCTTCAAGTTTTGGTGAATGATTTCATTTCTTCAGCAAGTTTGAATTTTCCATTTTCTAATATTTCTTCGTATAATGATTTATAAAGAAAAGATGTGATACATTGTTCTTTAGTTCAATAATTATCGGAACGCGAAAGCATGATTGCTCTCTGTCATCAGTTCTGTATCAACAAATTGAATTGCTAATACGTGTCTCAATAAATTGCTTGTGCTTGTTTGAAAATAGGACAATGGTGCGTCAGTCGTATTCAGCGAGAAACACAGGGGATTCGAGGAGAGATGGAAACGAGGGTGGAACGGATGAAATCGAATTACAGATCCGATGAAATATTGGAATGATCCGACGCAGAACCAGATCACATCTCAGCAAGATGATGTTCGCGTGCGCCGTCCATCAAGATCCTAAAATTTCTGCTCGTCGTATAATATGCGCACGTCATGACGTGGTCGTGGCGGGACTCGTTTCAAGGTGTCACAGAAAGCACGGAACTGGTTGTAACAAAACTTCTGAAAATGACAGTACTCACATACCGTTGACGAGACCAACGAGTTCCCTGACACGCATACGCCACCGTTACAAACCCGACGTGCCCACCAGCTACGCAGACGTTCGATATCGAGACGATCAACGTCACCGAGTGTTGGTATCTTTTTTCTCTAAGCGCCACCATCATACGTTTTTTGTTTTAAAAAAATGGGGAAACAGATTTGTTGCAATTCACAATCTACAAGTCCTCAGTCCTGATTAAAAGCCAAAAGCGTACGTTTAGATAATTAAAACATATTGTTCCATAAAAATCAGAAAAAACGACATAATGGTGAAAATGTTCGTTTGTCTGCATAATACAAGAAAAATTGAAACTCGCACACATTTGCCTTGAATTTAGAGCGAATTCCCAAAAAAGGAATATAATTGTTTTTATGAAAATAAATAAAATCCAATACTGCTCTCTTAACTAAGAATCCTTTTATCCAAACCCATGCATTTTATAATACAGAATACGAAAAATTCTACTGTGCAGGAAATTCTCGGATTAAATATTTTGCGCATGACCAACTTCTGACTTTTCGTGTCGATTATTGCAATTTCAACTTTAAGGCCATCAGTTGACTTGCAATTCGGAGGGCGGTACCATCCCCACGGGGAACGGTTTAACCCGTCATACCGTACAATATATGTATGTATATATACATATACATATACACGTACATCACGTACAAAGTGATTTTGCGCTCGATTCTTCGCGTCCCGACGTGTCCTAGCCACCTTTCGAACCGCCTAGTCTCGTTAAAACCATTTCCGGAACGGAGGCTGGCTCTCGAGCCGGTTGTCCGGTACCTATTAAAACCGGAAATCTACTTTTTTGCTCCTACACTTCCTATGGGACGGTACCAGTATCGTTAATTCCGTAGTATAATTGCAAAAAGGTGATCGTTAGGGAACGAGCGAGCAATTGCGAGATATTTTTGGCGAAATTAATGATAAATCCAAAAGGAGGACGAGAAATAGTCGTGAGCGATGAATTTCGTTTATTTTATTTTTAGCTTCAATGAAGTTAAATTGTAGTTAACGTAGATATTTTGTAAAACAAACTAAAAATGTAAAGATAATGACTAAGCGTGGAATCGTCACGGGAGATAAGAATAGACATTTTGCTTTTACGTAGATGTGACTAATAATCGTAAATCAACTACTTTATGTGACTAATTCCTGTGAAAGAAAGTAAGTACGTACACATATGAATATTCACGTGAATTGTGTGACATAACTTGAAAGTTTAATATATTCCAGTTAGTGCGTTTATCATGAATAAAAAAATGGCAAGGACATTTTAATAACGTTCCATAATCACGCAAAAAAGAACTGAAAAAATTCGGAGAATTCTTGAAGAAGAAAACTCTCAGTAAACCATGTATCTTTTATTGTACGCATCGTCTGTGTACGGTTGCAATCAAACAAATTATAATGCGGATTCTGAACATGTTTGCGGAAAACGAAATACCGAGTGTAACAAAATAGGTTCGAAAACAAGTTTATGCATTTTCCTTCTCTATTTTCTTATATAAATATAATATTATTATATTATTAAATCAATATTTAAAGACCAATCGACATTTATTATTTTTTCAGTATTTCCTATTTTGAGAACATGGTAAATGTTAAAAAAATAAATAAAGTAGAAATATAAATATCATATACACACGGATTTTGATACCTTTTTATGCTTGTAATAGAAAATTTTCTGCATCACAACAATGAAAAGTGTTAAATGTAAAGTCTGTACTCAATTGTAGCACATTATACATCGTATAAGTGCTTTAATATTAGAGAACAAATATAAATATAAATTAAGAAGCCACTTACCACAACCGCTTCAGATTCTAATAAATCCTTAGATCCAATAAAATCCTAGATTACTAGACAGGAAGTTCACTGAGCATTCTGAAAATAAAATTTAATACAATTACACCAGTTGTATTAAACCCAAATAAATAATTTACAAGAAATACGATAACCCACGTACGATTGAAAATACTTTTGACAAAGTTCAACAAAGTATATTACTGTTTATTTCGTGTTCACTTATTTCGTCCATAGAATAACGCTATTCATAGTGAAACATCTGTGATTCTTACTGAAACGACAGAAGACGACTCAGTGATACCGAAAGTCTATAAAATACTGACAATTGGTATGGTCTCTATCCTATCTTTTATAGCCTTTGTTAACGTTTACGATTCCTTCTACTGATGAACGATAATCAGTATGGAACCTTGGGCTAATAACACCTTCGTTAAGTGGCCGATACAACGTGTTTTAAATCATCCGCGTCGCGGGTAAAGGAGAAAAACGTTTCCCCCCGTCGTACGCGACGTGACTGATTGAAAATAGACATTTCCGTGTCCGAGCTAATGTGATAAATTACGCATAATTGTTAGACATTTTTATCGTAACACTCGCGTGAACTATCACGATAGTTACTGTCCCGCGCGCTAACTATTATTAATTCCGATTATTCACAGCGTCTTGCAGCACCTTCATGTCCATTTTATTATGCAAACTGTACTCTGCAGTCAATTAAGGAAATAATTTCGATTATGGATCTAGATTTAAAGAATCAGTTTCTCCATTTTATTATATAATCATAAAATATAGAACCAGAGAGAAACAATGAAAAAATGTTGAAACAAGGGTGTTATTATTAAATGAATTCGCAATTGGCGTATAATAATAGTAGTTCAGCGTGGATGTTGCAAGACCAAAGTACCGCGTTCAAGGGAGACGTGTCAACGGCAGTTTCCTTGGCTGACTCTAATCGGCTGTTTCTACTAACCCTCTTGCGGTCGCTTTTAAGTTACTCTCGATTCCATTCTACTTAAGGCGTGGCAAGTTCCGCTCTCGTGTAATTTTCCGATAGTGATCGTGTGTCGAACAAGATGGAACTATAAATCCTCGTACATAAATTGTCATCCGTAACGTATAGTCATATTCTCCTACTAAATTAGATTTCCAGTAACTTGTACAATGGTTTTTCTTCTTGCAAAAGAATCATTAGAATATTTATCAAACTTGGAACAATAATATAATATTTTCAACCATTATCGAATGCTACGAAAACACAGCTATTGGGGGTCCCTGATGTGTACTAGAGGTTGAGCCTGGATTCAGAGCAGGTGAGAAGCATGAGAAAAGTTTGAAGGGGAGTAGGTAGAACAGGGGAAAAAAGTTAAAGAGATGGTGCACGTTAGATGGGGTAGGTTCGCGAGAAGAGCTGAGATGGTCGCGTGCTATCTT